AGATGGTAGTTTAGTATGCACTGCGGTTGTATCATGCATTATTCACATCATACTACTTTAGCAATTATCCTTTGTAACTATAACTGCTATCTTTTTCAACAGAACATCCACACCCCTCCAGGGCACATGGACAGAAACAACTTTGTTTGCTGTGTCTTCACAATAATAGACTTGTCTGTAATCTCTTTACATTGTTAACAAGGAGATGCCCTGCACCAGCCATTCAAGATAAGGGCTTGTCATGCACAAGTTGCATATACCAACTCCACTGTTACAGAACAGGAGCTGAAACGTCTTGCTGGTATTGGTGTGTTTTGTGTGTGTATAGCAGCATTTGAATAAACTTAAACTACAGAGTGGTTTTATTCTTCCAAGGGTCCACTTAAATCTATCAAGAGGGGAGAAGAGAAGAGCTGTGGCTAAAGGTAGTGAATTTGGCTGCAGCAATTTGATAGTGATGACCTCATTACATTTCATATTGTTTCAAAGTCTACACTATATCTACGCTCCTTAAGAACCTGGAGCACTAAAAGAAAAAATTTAAGATGACAACTTTATATATATTACCTAGGTATTTAATGAGTAATTTTTATTATTGTTTCATAAGAATCCATAATCATGTCTCATGAATTAACTAAGAGGAAACTCTGAAACGATACCCAACAAATACGACATTGAATGAAACTACACATGTGGCAGGCAGCGACAACTGTTTGCTTACCTAATATCTATGCTTCCCTATTTCTAGGACTTTGTTTGGAGAAACAAACGGCTGGCTAAAAAGCCAAAGTTGCTAGTTCCTTGTAAGCAGGGGTAGGTATTTTGGGCCAGTGCAGCAGAGGGGAAAGTACACTGGGCAGTTCTGGAAAGCTCTGTTTTCCTTTTCCTTCTGGAATGACATATGGAGCCTGGAGGCAGTGTGAAAGTCAAACACTAAGGATAAAGAGCTGGGACCAGGCACAGCACTTGCATGGGAGGGGGTGTCTTTTTCAGTTTGCGGCAGTCAGAGAAGACCTCTCCGAGGGGTTGACATTTGAATTAAAGCTGAAATGATGAAAATGAGGCAATCTTGCCAAGGTCTGGGCTGATCTTGGTATGTCCAGTAGAGAGACACCAGTGTGGCTGGAGCGGAGGTGAGGCCACAGAGGAAGCAGATCGCTTGTGGCCTGGTGATTCAAAGTAAGGGTTCTGGGTTTCATGCTGGTTGCCATAAGAATCCACTGAAGGGTTTTAGGCAGCAGTGACACGATGTGATTTTTAAAAATAGATGTTATTTTTTAGAGCAGTTTGTAAATTCACAGCAAAATTGAGAGGGAGGTACTGAGAGTTCCCACACACCCCTGGTTCCCACACATGCACAGCCTCCCCCATCGTCAAACCTTCCGCAGGAGTAGTCCATTTGTTACAACTGATGGACCTCCACTGACACATGGTTTTCACTACATGACTTGATTTTCACTTCAGAAAGACTTTTGTGACTCCTCAAAGAAGGATGGACTAGTAGTGGAGAAAAGGGTGAAAGCAGAGAGCAGTTAGGAGGTGACTGCACAGACTAGCAGGAGTCTGGGCGAGTGGCCTGAAGGCTTAGATTAGAGGTGCAGCTGTGGTGACTGGAAAGAGTAGAGAGGTTCAGAGTATATAGCAGAGGATGATACAACAAACAGTACGACCTAGTGATGGAGGAGATGTGGAGCACAAGAGAAAGAGAGGAATCCAAATGAATCGTGGGGGTTATCCTGCACAGCTGGATGGATGGGGAGACAGTGACTGACACAAGGAGTACTTTCTGGAGAGAACATTTGGGCATAAAAATCTGGTTCACAGATGGGCATGGTGGCTCACGCCTGTAATCTCAGCACTTTGGGAGGCTGAGGCTGGAGGATCACTTGAGGACAGGAGTTCAAGATCAGCCTGGGCAACATGACGAAACTCTGTCTCTACTAAAAATACAAAAATTAGCTGGGCATGGTGTTGCATGCCTGTAATCCCAGCCATTTGGGAGGCTGAGGCATGAGAGTCACTTGAACTCAGAGGTGGAGGTTGTGGTGAACTGAGATGGGGCCATTGTACTCCAGCCTGGATGACAGAGTGAGTGAGTCTCTGTCTCAAAAAAATAAATAAAAATAAAATTGTGGTTCACTATTGGGTAATATGCTCACTACCTGGGTATATGTGACAGATTCATCTGTACTCCAAACGTAAGCACCACACAATATTCTTTTGTAATAAACCTGCACATGTACCCCCTGATTCTAAAATAAAAGTTGAAAAAAGAAAAAAAATCCAGGTTCAGTTTTGGTCATGTTAACCTTGAGAAGCCTTTAAGATCTATAATTGGAGATGTGGGGTGGACAGGTGACCAGGGAAGCTCAGGGGTGGGTCCTTCCCAAGGAAGGCTGATCACATGGCCCCCTACCACAGTCACAGAATGTGGACTCAAGGGCAGCCAGAATCAGCCCACGATGTAGCCCAGCATTAAATCTTATTATCCAAATAAGGATAATAATAACCATCCATTAAATAATCCAATCCTCTCTCTTTCAGACTTTGAATACACAAGACACACAACTCTGCGTCATACACTATAACTGTACTTTACTGATTATAGGAGCAATGTCTTACAGAGAGATGAAAGGGAAGCCATGAGGCAGCAGAAATCATGAGGTTGAGAGAAGACAGAATTATTAGTTGGAGCCATAAGGCAGAGCACTGAGCAGGGAGCCACAGATAATTCTATCGCCAGAGCGCTTCAGTTTCCTGAACATTTTTGTCCCTAAAAAAGATTCCACCTTCCACAAGGCCTCACTATGTGAGGTTCAACTTATTTCTTCAAGCATAGCTTGGTGCAAAAGTAATTGCAGTTTCTGCCATTACCTTTAAAGGCAAAAATGTATATATTATAATTGTGTAGTTGTCCCACAGTTCTTGGATATTGTCCCAGTTTTTTTCAGTCTTTTTCATCTTTGCTTTTTCAGTTATGAAAATTTCTACTGACATATCCCCAAACTCAGAGATTCTTCCTGCAACGGTGTCCAGCCTACTAACGAAGCCATCAAAGGCACTGTTCACTTCCATTACTGTTTTTGATCTCTAGCATTTTTAAAATTCTTCCTAAGATTTCCATCCCTTGAGCCTGCATTACCATCTGCTTTTGCACAGTCTCTACTTTTCCATGACAGTCCTAAGCATGTGAATCGTAGTTCTTTTAGATTTCCAATCTGATGACTCTAACATCCCTGTCATATCTGGTTTAGGTTCTGACACTTGCTACATTGCTTTAAACTGTGTTTTTTGTCTTTTAGTATGCCTTATAGTTTTCTATAGAAAGGTGGACATGGGCTAGGCATGGTGGCTCATGCCTGTAAATTTGGGAGGCTGAGGTGGGTGGATTCACGAGGTCAGGAGTTTGAGACCAGCCTGGCCAATATGGTGAAACCCCTGTCTCTACTAAAACTACAAAAATCAGCCAGGTATGGTGGCATGTGCCTGTAGTCACAGCTACTGAGGAGGCTGAAGCAGAAGAATCACTTGAATCCAGGAGGCAGAGGTTGCAGTAAGCCAAGATGGCACCACTGCACTCCAGTCTGGGCAACAGAACGAGACTCCATCTCAAAAAAAAAAGAAAACAAGAAAGGTGGACATGATGTCCCCGGTGAAGGTACTGCAGTAAACAAGCTTTTTAGTGATGTGGTGGGAAGCAGTCAGGGAGGCGAAGAGTTCTACAGGTCTATGATCAGGTCTCCGCGTTTTAGTGAGCCTGTGCCCCTGGGCTGTGAATTTTACAGGTGCTTCTTAGTTTTAGCGCCTTTAGGTAGGACAGAACAGCTAGAGATGGGCTGAATTTAGTATTCCCTTTTCCCCAGTTTGGTTAGGCTGTGGTAAAAGAGTCTCTTGAGGACAGGCCTTGTTAAAAACAGAATGCTCTAGCATATTTAAAAATCGTGACTTTTCCTTTCTTGCTGACAGAAGTACAATGGGATTTCTCTCATTTCAGGTCTCTGTGAGGACCTGGTAAAGCTCCAAAACTCATGAAAATGTGACCCTCACCCCCACTCCTTAGTGACTGGGTCCTGCTGGAGTTTTTTGGATTTTTTGTTTTTTTTGAGACAGAGTCTTGCTCTGCCACCAGGCTGGAGTGCAGTGGCACGATCTCAGATCACTGCAACATCTACCTCCCGGGTTCAAGTGATTCTCCTGCCTCAGCCTCTCAAGTAGCTGGGACTACAGGCACCCGCTAACATACCCGGCTAATTTTTGTATTTTTAGTAGAGACAGGGTTTCACCATGTTGGCCAGAATAGTCTCGATCTCTTGACCTTGTGAACTGCCCGCCTTCGCCTCCCAAGTGCTGGGATTACCAGAGTGAGCCACCATGTCCAGACCCCTCTGGAGTTTTTAACTCAGACTTCACACTGGGCCTCTAGAGATTTGTGAGTTACAGTTTGGTTGCCCTAGCCCCGCACTGGTTGCCACAGAGGTTTCTGATCATGGATTTCTGCTCAGAAAGTTATGAGTCTCTCACTTCGCCTGTCTCTCCAATTTCAGGGGCAGCTGCCTCCCTCGCAACTTCACTTCTCTGATGGATCCAAGAAGAGACATTGATTTCAGTCTGTTCAGGTTTCCACTTGTTAAGATGAAATGACAACTTCCAAGCTCCTCGCATGTCCGATGGGAACCTAGAACTTCTGATTCCAACCTAAACCATTTCTGATAGTGCTTATTCCCCACCTACTCCCATAATACATCCACCTTTATCCAAGACAACTTGAGGCCAACACACACAGAGCCATTCTCTTTTCTAGTCTCTGAAAGCCCCATTCTTCCCCACTAGTCTTGCATTTCAAACACTGAATGATGTAGCAGCTAAACCTCAGAAGGAGCTAATTCACACAATGAAGTTTTCAGTTTCATTCGTTAGAGTCTCATCGAGTGTTTTCTAAAATGTTGTGAACAACTCATAAGTCCTTTAGAAACAGCTTTTAGTAGCCACAGTTACCGTACCTGCTATCTCTCTCTGGGATTTCCTTAATAGCAATTCTGACTTGGTTGCTCAAGTCCCGACCTGCGTAGACTATCCCATAAGTGCCTTTTCCTAAAACGACTCTGTCACCGTTTTCATCATATTCATAGTCGTACTACAAAAGGAAAAACAGGGAGAAAAGATCGAAACATTAGTTCATTCTACATTTCAAACACCATTTTTTTCCCAAGAGCATTATTCCTTATCGGATGGCATTACCAGGCTGAAGTTCTAAGAAGCAGCTTCAAGAATGAACAAATAAACGCTCCCAATGTAAAGCAGATATTGTGTTGATGTTTTCACAACTGTTACAAATACAGTGGAGATTACACAGTTAACTTCATAGAAGTGCTTCTCTAGAGCCATGCGGATTCTTTTACCCACTCAGTCCTGTTTTTCATTGATTCTGGAGATCAATGAAACAGCGTATAACTGGCATCAACATCTAATAGTGTCTATCACATCTAATTAATCTTCCTTTTGTTATTCAGCTTTTCATGCTGTTAAAGCATTTCACACTGCCAGAAGAATAAAACCACTGATAGGCTTTGGGTAAGAATAAAATTTTAATATCTTACCAGTTGCTGATGATACAGTAAGAATTATTTTACTTTGCCCCCACCCTCATGCCCCAAGACCCAAAAACATTTTTTAAAAAATGAAAAATGGAGGTAAATTTTGATCTCTGATGTAGAAAGGAAATATCTATAGCTCTAAACTCCAATCTTTCAAGTGTGTCAGCCAAATATAGAAAACTGGATCTACAGAAAGGACTCAGTAAAGACCTCCTCAGATCTGGAGGCATTACCCCAAAGCCACATCCTTTCTGTTGGACTGGAACTAAAGGATTTAGGGCCATCAAATGGTCAAGGCATGTCCCTGTAGAAACCCAGCGTAAAACTACAGACCCCCAGGAGAGAACAATAGAACAAGCTTTTCCTATAGTCTACATTTTGCTGGAGTTTAAAACTGGCAGCCCACAGTTAGATTCAACTCATAGTGGGGTCTGAGTCAGCCATTAAAAAAATGATTTCTGGCCAGGCCCAGTGACTCGCGCCTGTAATCCCAACATTTTGAGAGGCTGAGGCGGGTGGATCACCTCAGGTCAGGAGTTTGAGACCAGCATGGCCAACATGGCAAAACCCCGTCTCTACTGAAAATACAAAAATTAGCCGGGTGTGGTGGTGCACGCCTGTAATCCCAGCTACTCAGGAGGCTGAGGCAGGAGAAGCCGTTGAACCCGGGAGACAGAGGTTGCAGTGTGCTGAGATCGTGCCACTGCACTCCAGCCTAGACAACAGTGAGACTCTGTCTGAAAGGGAAAAAAAATGATTTCTAACATGTATAAGTCAACAAACTTAACATTAATACTGATGAGTAATCTATGAAGAGCACGATGATCATGAGTTTTTATGCTCTTTAACATCAAAGCCTTGAAATATAAAGCAGAGCTGATAACATTTCAAAGAAAAATACACAAATATCAACCACAATAGATTTTAACAGAACTCTTTTACAAAATAATATATATAGCAGACAGATTTTTAAAAAGAGACTCTAATGGCACAATAAACAAGTTTGATATAACATCTGCAGAGAGAGCTCTGCACCCTGATACAAATTCCTTTCATGCATATATAAAAAATATATTATAATGGATCACATATTAGACAACAAAGAAAAATTTCAACAAATTCCAAAGAACTGATATCATAAAGACCATGATCTTTGAGCACAGAAGATTAAAAATATGATAGCCAAAAGTATATTTTACTTTATTTTAAAATAACCAATGGGTTAAAAATGAAATGGCCATGGGAATTACATGATCATTTTTTAAATGAAAAGAAAAGCATTATTTATCAAATACCACAGACGTGGAGTTAGGTAGATGAAAAATTTCATGGCCTTAAAAAATTCCATTTGAAAACAAAAATTTAACATGAATAAGTTTAACGGCCAAGTCAAGGAAACAGAAAAAGAATAACATATTGCTAGCAAAACAGCAGAAGAGAGGCTCTAGATTTTCAAGATGGTAGACCAGATACCTGAAAATCTTCCTACTAAAGACACATGTCAAATAAAACAGACATACTTTTAAATGTCTTGCTGGGCTTACTAAAGAGTAAAGGTGACAGGAGAAGCTAGAAATGAAGAGGAAAGGAATACTAGCAGGTAATCAAAAGAACTTTGCAGCCCCAAGGGGGGGGATGAAGGCAGGATTTTCAGTTTCATTAATCTAGGACAGGAGTTTGCATATATATTTTTTTTGCAAAAGGTCAGATAGTGAATGTTTTAGCTTTAAGGGCCATATAGTCTCTGTAGCAACTACTCCATTCTGCCATTGTGATGTGAAAACAGCCCAGCTGATCTATAAACAAAGGGATGCGCTTGTGTTCCACTAAAGCTTTATTTATCAAGATAAACAGTGAGCTGGATTTGATCCTAGGGCCATACTTTGCTGACCTCTCACCTGGGGCTTGGGTCTTAATGCCCAGGAGGGGATAGAAAATATAGCCTAATGTCCTATGCCAGGCAAAGCGCAGAAACACACAAAACCAGGTCCTTGATGAAAGGGTAGATTAGAAAAGTCAGCCCACTACACTGTGAAACAAAAAGAAAGCTGGTTTGTTTTAAGACTGAGCTCTGGATGAGCAAAAACAGGTCTTCTCTAAACACTTTCAACCATTGCTGATCCTGGTGCTGTTTGAACTGCAGATTAACACTTATTGCAATACTCATAATTGCTCTTGAGCCTGGGATGTCCCTGGAGTGCTTGGCGGAAACAAAGCAAAAACATTTTAATGGCATACCCCCTTGAAGCTTGCTATGCAGAATTCTTATTGACAATGCACCACTAACATTAAACTCACAATCCAAAAAATATAAAATATATAAGGAAACAATTCAACATCAGTGAAAACATATGACAAATATCAATCCTCAAGACTTCATTAAATCAGAAATGATAGAATATAGTTATAAAATATGTACATTTAACAGAAAGATACAAAATATTTCAAAATGAAAAGAAGATAAGACATTCTAAAAACGGCCAGACAGACTTGAAAGAGAATTGAATACAGCTTCTAGAAATTCAGCCCTAAATAGGAAAAATAAATTCACTCAGATATGATATAGGGAAATTACAAAATATGAAAGACAAAAAGATCATAAAAGGACACATTACCCACAAAGGTAGCTCATCAGACCACTCTGCAAAATCTTGGTACACATGCATGACTTAAGGGGATGGGAGTGAAGTGGGGCATGTCCTTTCCAGCTCCAGGTTATTTGTTTCTAACAGGTTTCCAAGCCCTTATAGAAGATAGTCTGGTAGTGTCTTTTGGGGAAAATTATGGCCAATACAATGCCAGGGTTGGAGTGGGCACTGGCCTCCTTAGCATGGACCCTTCTCTGGCTCAGGACAGAGGCCAAGCTCTGGAAGGGAGACGACTACTTACCCATTGCCAAGTATCCAGTGACACATTAGAGAATAGCCCTATCCTGGCTGCCTAACGTAAAGCTGAAGACTGTCTTGGTCCAGAGCAGATGACCTGGTAGGTTGTCAGAGTGAAGGAACAGGCAGCAGGGATCATTTAGCAACGTGCCCTAACTCACAGTTAAAACTGGACTCCGGCGAGGAGGCAGGAAGCATAATCCAAACAATGCTACCTGAAGGAGCTCAAGTCTCCATACCCAATTCCTGTGGTCTAGACTTCTACTATGCTGTGCCTGCCATGCTGGAATTCTATCAGCGGGACCCAGCCAGCAGGAGGTAGGACAGGGACCGTCACTGAAGAAGCTCAACTTTGCCAATATGCCCTCTCAAAGGATTAGAAATCTTATACACTGAATCCAGTACCACCACCATTTTATACTACAATGCTTTATAACTTAAAAGGAAAAAAAAAAGGCCGGGCGAGGTGGCTCAAGCCTGTAATCCCAGCACTTTGGGAGGCCAAGGCGGGTGGATCACAAGGTCAAGAGATCGAGACCACCCTGGTCAACATGGTGAAACCCCGTCTCTACTAAAAATACAAAAAAAAATTAGCTGGGCATGGTGGTGTGTGTCTGTAATCCCAGCTACTCAAGAGGCTGAGGCAGGAGAATTGCCTGAACCCAGGAGGTGGAGGTTGCGGTGAGCTGAGATCGCGCCATTGCACTCCAACCTGGGTAACATGAGTGAAACTCCGTCTCAAAAAAAAAGGAAAAAAAAAAAAAAACTTTCAATAACCCACCTCACTTGACTATCATAATAAGCCTGTGTGTCACAGTTGGTTTCTGATTACTTTCAATTTACAAATGATCAGAAATGATTTTTTCCAGTGAAAATATGTCAGAGTTGTGGTTTAAGACCAGCTTGTAAGATTCTAGATTTTGTATCCTTTCTACTACCTATGCTTTAGGGAAACCCTATCATAGAGTAAGAGCTTACAGGGTGATTATTAGTTCTGTTTCCAAACGCCAGTATTGTAAAGGTATTACAGTATATTGTCAATATCCACTGAACGTCCATTCTCTTTCTCTCTCCTTTCTTTCTTTCTCTTTCTTTCTTTCTATCCCTTCCTCCCTGCCTCCCTCCCTCCCTCCTTCCTTCCCTCCTTCTTGACAGAGTCTTGCTCTGATGCCCAGGCTACAGTGCAGTGGCGTGATCTCAGTTCACTGCAACCTCTGCCTCCCAAGTTCAAGCAATTCTCCTGCCTCAGCCTCCCAAGTAGCTGGGATTACAGGCACGCACCACCATGCCACCTGGCTAATTTTGGGGATTTTTAGTAGAGATGGGGTTTTGCCCTGTTGGCCAGGCTGGTCTTGAACTCCTGACCTCATCATCTGCTCACCTCGGCCTCCCAAAGTGCTGGGCTTACAGGTGTGAGCCACCGCACCCGGCCCCATTCGCTTTTTCAAGCAGACATCTGGTAGCCACTGTCCTCTTAGAATTTGTTTTTTACCTTCTCTTCCTCCGTATTTCCAATTTATTGCCAACTGTTCTCAGATTTTTCTTTTTAAAATCTCACAAATCTCCTTATTCTCAGTGTGATTGCTTCAGAGTCTCTGTAGAAGTAGCATAGAAGAAAAGCACTTCTCTGCAAAACAAAGTTCAGAGGCTTTTCT